TTGAGGTCGATTTGTCCCGGATATGTCGGACATTATCTCTCGTTACTCGGTCGTCCCCATTATGAGCCTGGCCGAATCCATGATGGGCATGAAAGATCTGGCCGAAATTATAAAAAGATTATAAGAAAACTCATTCGCTGTAACGGAATCCCGCAACTACAGACTGTTTTTCAGGTCCCGCAGACCATTTTCCTTCTGTTATTACGAATTTTTAGTCGTCGTTTTATTTCGTCGCACTCATTGTTTTATTACTTTATTTGAAAAAAAATAAATACACAAATAATATAAAATTCATTTTTAATTTTTTCGGGTATCGTGAATGGTTCATTATATCGAGCTTTTACATATACAGTAATACCCCGAACTTACGCGATAGGTGGGACCGAGCGATAACCGCGTAAGTCGAATTCGCGTAAGTCGGGGTATAATTTTGCATATAAATACATACAAATAACACAAAATAAATTGTAACTATATGTCGAACACGTCCGAACATGTAAGCCGAACAATAGTGTGGGGGGAAATGAGTAATTAAGAGTTGCGTGGCGCTCAAACAAAAGACAAATCGACGAGATTTGAAAATCGCGTAACTCCGGATTCGCGTAAGTCGGGGTAGCGTAAGTCGGGGTATTACTGTATTTTTAATTTATAGATGCAAATAACTAAATTTATATGCATGCACTTCTATAAAATGGCTAAATAAATTTTATGTTTATATTTAAATTTATTAACAAAACTTAAATATTTTTGATTGCCATAACCAGGCATGGCCAACACATGGCCCGCGGGCCGGATCCAGTCCGTCTAATGAATTTATGCGGCCCGCGATTAATCTTTCAACATTAGCTAAAAACGTTTTTAAAAATATTTATGATGGCAAATATGGTTTATCCAACCATCCACAATACAATTGTCGTGTTTATGTTAATAAAAGGTATTTATTAATTATTCAAGTATCTTTAATTTTTCAGTAAGCCCCGTTTGGGTACTTCTGGATTCGATACTGCTAGTGTTTAATGGTTTTATCGGTAAAGTTTAGACCATTTGATTCAATTAGGCATCCCGTTGTGCCGTTGTGGAATTATCGGAATCTTTTTATGTTACGTTTTATTGTCAATATTTTAGATTTCTTAAATGCTGTAGCGATTAATATAGTTAAATTTTTGTTAAATCTTACACATTTAAAAAAAATCATTAATTATTTTTTCTTTTATCTTCTCTCTATTTCATTCCCATTGTAATGACTATATTGTCATGGGATACGCTACAGTCGTGATTTACGAACGAAACAACTAAAAAAAAAAATCTAAGAAACAGATTCCGAGTCAAACTTCGTCTCCTCAAAGCAGTAGGCAGATATTATTGTCATTCAACAAACTAAATGATTAATGTTAATGCATATCAGGTTTTGCACAAATAATTTCAAATGTTATTGATTTCGATTTGAGTGCGATTATCCGGCTGCGTGACAATGAATTCTCTTTCCGTTTGAGGAATTCAGCATCTATTCACATCCATTCTCTTAATTTGGATCAGAATATCATTTTTCGTACTTTAATTATTCTCCCCACAATAGGCAAATAGAATAATTACTATTAGCTTTGATTTCGGAAGAAATAGGCCAAATTCGTATATCTATTTTAGAATTAATCAGGTTACTTTATTCCATTTTTTGGCTCTTTTAGCTCTGTTGACATTTTTACTTTTACTTTTTCTATCCCATGGGCACTAAGAGGGTTTTTACCATGTCCATCATGGATTTGGCCAGGCTCACAATGAGGCGGTCGAGTGACGTGGGACGGGATCCGACATATCCAGAACAGACCACCCGTGAAAAATTCCTGGGGTTTTCCGATCGGATTCGATCCCGGATCGCCCAGAACGATGGTCTAAAATAGCCGTACCATTTCGGCTATCCGGCCGACTGAATGAACGATTTGAAAAATGCAGAAAAACTGTATCTAAAAATTGATATTCTGTTTTTATTTCTCATTCTTTCTATTCTGAGAATATTAAAAAGATGTTTTCCTTATGCCCGAGGATAAACTATGCCGAGCTTATACTGAGCAGATAGTGAGAAATCCGGGTCAATTAAGATTCGAAATCGGATCTTCCAGGTCGACAGGCTGGTATTATAGACAAATTTGATAAACATAAATTATTAAAATTTCCAGATTGCAGTATTTTTTCTGGGAAATGTTAATATATGTAAACAATTTCATAATTAATAACGTACAGTCGACATTTTAAAGTTTTCATTAACATGTCCGAATTAGCGTTTAAAAGTTTTATTTCAAAATATTGCATCGCTATTAATCGAACGATTAATAAAATATAATAATAAATAATTAGTACATTTTTAATAATAATTAGAATTAATAAAATAAAAGTAATAAACGTTTTAGCCGTAGTAAAAAGTTTAATTATGAAAACTAATTAGTGACGTTTAAAATAAGATTTATTAATAATTTAATTTTTATAAAAAATTTTAAAAAATTTAATTTATTAATTAAAATAATTTTTAAAACGTTAATAATAATTATTTTAATGAAGTTATATTATTTTCATATTTTATATAAGAATTCCGTTATTGGCCATTAGAGGGAATTATCGTCTTTCGGAGTTGACAAGACAATATGGAGTACGAAAGGATTTTGCTAGTTAAACAAGAAGTGTTTGTTTATAGAATACCACCGAGATCTACAAGTCGAGGATACAGGTATACTTGCTGTTTTTAATGTGTAAGTCGTAACTGTAACGTGATAATACTTAGAGGCGAGTATTAACAAATAAAAAAGTGTATCTGATAAATGTCAATTTCACTAGTCAGTTTCACCCTTAAGAAGGAAGAGGGTGTTTTCAGAAAATTGATAAAAATTCCCCTTAAAATACTCAATATCTTTTTAAATTTGATACATTTCTTTTAAAAGTAATTAGAATTTTCTTTTAAAAATTACATTACATGAAAGTTAAGATGATTGAGTTTAAATTTTTTTCAATTTAATCATCATAATATAACATATTTACAAATAAAATATATTAAACATTACTAAAATAGATTTCTGTGTCGTTATGTAGTATGCTTGCTTTTGTCAAATAATAAATTAGGGGTGTAGCCAGATTTTTTTTCTCCAAGCTAATTAATAGTGGTGGTATAATAATAATATAATACCAATATCCTATGTTTTAAAATTGTTAAAATTATTAACGTTAAATGCTTGATTAACTATACATGCAAAAGAATAAAGGTTGATTTATAATTTTATGAAGAAAATTTATTATGAATTTTCTTTTTGATTGCCTGAATAAATAAGGAAATATAAAGGGAAATTGACTCACAATAATTGGTATTAGTTTCTGATATAAAGGAAGATGTACAGATTTATTAACTTATTTAATAATAATTTAAAGTAGCTGTTTGGTTTAAAATTTTATTTTTTGGTAATAAGAATATTATGTAGAAGGATTTTTTTAAATGATAAGTTAGTTTAATACTTAAGCTAATATAATGAAACATAATTGTATCAGATATATTTTGTTTCCTTAATGAAAGTGAAATATAACATATTTTCCTTTAGTACATGTCTTTAAAAAATAATAATAAATAATACAAGTGAATAAATTAGTATAATATATTATTTTATTAGAGCATTTGGTTTAATTTAATTATTATATAATATTGAATAAAAATATTTTAAATTAAAAACTTCAAGATTCTTAAAAGTATAACAATTAATGAACTCATAATTATGATATTAAATTTGAATAACTCCTAAAAACCTGAAATAATTAAGTTTTTAGAAATAAAATGTTAAAAAAACAAAGAAATTTGTATGGAATTCAAATAAACAATGCTAATATTTTATCCAATAAAATTATAGTAGAAAAGAGATTGTTAAAAAGTTATATAAAAAGGAATAAAACATTAAGAAAATGATGTCTAACAAACAAAAAACAAATGAATGAAAATATTAAAATTTCTATAAACATCAAAATTTATTACTCAAAATACAAAAATAGTCACTAAAACAAATAACATGACAATAACTCCAAAGATAAATTTGCAGTAAGTTATTAATTTCTAAAATTCTATCAATATACAAAAAAGTACAAATTTTTATATTTCTTAATAAGTTGAACAGCTTTTAATTTTTAAACATTTCATAAGTCTTGTTATAAGGCAAAAGGAGTATTAAAGAATATAACTTAATTTTCAATACAGTAAATATTGAATACTCAATAAAATATTTTTACTGTCATTTACAATTTTGAAGTTGTGTCTTAAAATCTCTAAAAATATAGTTGTGTAAAATTTAATAACTTGAAATTAATTAATTACAGTGACTTTCCTTTATGTTTAGAAACAGTGGATATAATAAATAAATAATGTATACTATATTCAACTATGTAAAACAAATGGTCAACTGCTAGAAATCATCAAATTTTCAAAATCAATGTCAATATTTAAAATAAATCATATTGGATTTTCTACTCTAAAATTGTTATTTTGTAATTTATTTAGAGATTTTAAATTATATTAATGTCGTGAGGTATATTTTTTAAAATGATAGAGTTGAACATTGATCAATTACACATATAATTTTTTATTTTGTATACATAATAAAAATTATTATAAACATTATAATAAAAATATCATTATCATAAATGACATATAGTGAATTATATGACTAGAGTATTATTTTATGCAATCAACATACACTTGATATGTGTCAGACATGCCTGTAATATTAATGAAAATTTGTTATATAGAATTATTTAATAGTAAACATGTCTGTCAATATGTAATTGTCAAGCTTATATTGTCCTGAATAAGGTTAATTTCAAGAAATAAATAGGACAAAGAATATGTAAATATTTTTCTTTTTATCTTTCAAATTGTTCTGTTTTTTAAATAGAAAAATAAATAAATAAATAAATAAAAATCAACAATTTCTATTTAAAATTTATACCATAACAAAATAATAGTTATTTTTGTATTTTTATCGTCTTTCGGAGTTGACAAGACAATATGGAGTACGAAAGGGTTTTGCTAGTTAAACAAGAAGTGTTTGTTTATAGAATACCACCGAGATCTACAAGTCGAGGATACAGGTATACTTGCTGTTTTTAATGTGTAAGTCGTAACTGTAACGTGATAATACTTAGAGGCGAGTATTAACAAATAAAAACGTGTATCTGATAAATGTCAATTTCACTAGTCAGTTTCACCCTTAAGAAGGAAGAGGGTGTTTTCAGAAAATTGATAAAAATTCCCCTTAAAATACTCAATATCTTTTTAAATTTGATACATTTCTTTTAAAAGTAATTAGAATTTTCTTTTAAAAATTACATTACATGAAAGTTAAGATGATTGAGTTTAAATTTTTTTCAATTTAATCATCATAATATAACATATTTACAAATAAAATATATTAAACATTACTAAAATAGATTTCTGTGTCGTTATGTAGTATGCTTGCTTTTGTCAAATAATAAATTAGGGGTGTAGCCAGATTTTTTTTCTCCAAGCTAATTAATAGTGGTGGTATAATAATAATATAATACCAATATCCTATGTTTTAAAATTGTTAAAATTATTAACATTAAATGCTTGATTAACTATACATGCAAAAGAATAAAGGTTGATTTATAATTTTATGAAGAAAATTTATTATGAATTTTCTTTTTGATTGCCTGAATAAATAAGGAAATATAAAGGGAAATTGACTCACAATAATTGGTATTAGTTTCTGATATAAAGGAAGATGTACAGATTTATTAACTTATTTAATAATAATTTAAAGTAGCTGTTTGGTTTAAAATTTTATTTTTTGGTAATAAGAATATTATGTAGAAGGATTTTTTTAAATGATAAGTTAGTTTAATACTTAAGCTAATATAATGAAACATAATTGTATCAGATATATTTTGTTTCCTTAATGAAAGTGAAATATAACATATTTTCCTTTAGTACATGTCTTTAAAAAATAATAATAAATAATACAAGTGAATAAATTAGTATAATATATTATTTTATTAGAGCATTTGGTTTAATTTAATTATTATATAATATTGAATAAAAATATTTTAAATTAAAAACTTCAAGATTCTTAAAAGTATAACAATTAATGAACTCATAATTATGATATTAAATTTGAATAACTCCTAAAAACCTGAAATAATTAAGTTTTTAGAAATAAAATGTTAAAAAAACAAAGAAATTTGTATGGAATTCAAATAAACAATGCTAATATTTTATCCAATAAAATTATAGTAGAAAAGAGATTGTTAAAAAGTTATATAAAAAGGAATAAAACATTAAGAAAATGATGTCTAACAAACAAAAAACAAATGAATGAAAATATTAAAATTTCTATAAACATCAAAATTTATTACTCAAAATACAAAAATAGTCACTAAAACAAATAACATGACAATAACTCCAAAGATAAATTTGCAGTAAGTTATTAATTTCTAAAATTCTATCAATATACAAAAAAGTACAAATTTTTATATTTCTTAATAAGTTGAACAGCTTTTAATTTTTAAACATTTCATAAGTCTTGTTATAAGGCAAAAGGAGTATTAAAGAATATAACTTAATTTTCAATACAGTAAATATTGAATACTCAATAAAATATTTTTACTGTCATTTACAATTTTGAAGTTGTGTCTTAAAATCTCTAAAAATATAGTTGTGTAAAATTTAATAACTTGAAATTAATTAATTACAGTGACTTTCCTTTATGTTTAGAAACAGTGGATATAATAAATAAATAATGTATACTATATTCAACTATGTAAAACAAATGGTCAACTGCTAGAAATCATCAAATTTTCAAAATCAATGTCAATATTTAAAATAAATCATATTGGATTTTCTACTCTAAAATTGTTATTTTGTAATTTATTTAGAGATTTTAAATTATATTAATGTCGTGAGGTATATTTTTTAAAATGATAGAGTTGAACATTGATCAATTACACATATAATTTTTTATTTTGTATACATAATAAAAATTATTATAAACATTATAATAAAAATATCATTATCATAAATGACATATAGTGAATTATATGACTAGAGTATTATTTTATGCAATCAACATACACTTGATATGTGTCAGACATGCCTGTAATATTAATGAAAATTTGTTATATAGAATTATTTAATAGTAAACATGTCTGTCAATATGTAATTGTCAAGCTTATATTGTCCTGAATAAGGTTAATTTCAAGAAATAAATAGGACAAAGAATATGTAAATATTTTTCTTTTTATCTTCCAAATTGTTCTGTTTTTTAAATAGAAAAATAAATAAATAAAAATCAACAATTTCTATTTAAAATTTATACCATAACAAAATAATAGTTATTTTTGTATTTAATAGCTCAGTTTGTTCTTATTGTTACAAGTAATATATTTATTAATAACATGAATAACATAATTCAGTCTTTTATATACAAATCTAAATATTTATAATACAAATTACATTAGTATTATATTATAAATTTTAACTTTTATTTTTTAGCTTTAGGATATGTTTTTTGCAATAATTACCAATAATAATTTTGAAAATAACAAAGTTTAATTTATTATGCTATCTTTTTAAAATCATTTAATGTTTAAGTATAGCATACGTTATTTGATTTTCAATATTTTTGTTTTGATAAAAAAAAACAGACTTTGTAGTAGATATACAATTGTTATTTGGAAATTATTTAGGCTTCTTTGACTTTATTCTGGTTTTTAAGAAATAGATTTGGAAGTTACATTGCAAAAAAAAGAAGAAAAATATAACTATGTCAAATATGTTCTTGTTTTCAACTCAAATCAATATTTTTGCTTTCAGAATTTATATTTGAATGATCCTGAAAGTCATCAATTTACTTTGTAACATTTTATTTTGTAAATTATTTAAAATAATGTGTTCATTTTCTAAAACTTGTGTAGTTCTATTTTCTAAACATAAAGAAAATGTAACTGCAGTTTACAGTATTTAAGATGCAACATAGGAGAAGAAGAGCACAGAAGATCAATAACTGCATGTCTTAGGCATAGTTCAGGTAAGTCTTCCATAGAAAGGATTTGTTTGATGGTGATATCACATATTTGTTTTCTGGATATAAATGATTACTGAATTAAATTAATTAAAAATCTACTAATGTGAGGTAGATAATAAGGACTTTTTATATTGATTACTGAATATTTATTTATTTTTTTAATATAAATCATTTTTTCAAAATCTATGACAAAAATATAACATTTTATTTTTGAAATTAATGGGGAAAAAAAAGATTGTGTAATCATAGGTATAAGCTGAAATAAGTGAAATGAAAATATATTTGTATTAAAATTACACATTTTTTACCTTCTTAAAATGATCATATTTATTCATCAGTAGCACCTTTTTTTTTTCTACATTAATTTTCTTCTTAATAGGGTGAATATTTAATTTCTGTTTTGTTCACTAATGAAAATTACATTCAAAATTATCTTGTTACATATATACATCAACTGTTTCTTTCCAACAGAATATGAATAGCTTAGCTAACCATTCTGACATGTAGTTATTGATCTTTCAGACACTGTAGGAATACTATAGTGTTCTTACAGTGTATTCTTATAGAATATATAGTGTTCTTGTATAAAATTACACAAACCTTAAAGGTAAATATAGTTTGAATTTGCAATTACTTATTCAAATAATTTGAATAAATGAGAAATATACATTTGTTAAAATATACATACTATAATTTTATCTTGAAAGAAGTTTCTTAGAGCATTAATATTCATGCCAAATATATATAAATTGTAATTGTATTTAACTTAATTTAAAAAAATATATATTTATGTATGTATGTATATTTTTATATATACTGTATGTATACAAAAAAAATATATATATATATATATTTTTTTTTTTGCTTTTAAAGTTAAATACAATTACAGAGTATTGTTTTATAAATCTGAAATTCTGAAATAATTTCAAAAACATGCTTTTTTCAATTTAAATTAATTATAAAATTTATTTAATAGATTTTTTTTATTCTTTTAACAGTGTCAGGCTATTTTGTGAATGTTATCTGTGCAAATTTCATTGCACAGCTAACATTCACAAAATAGCCTAACACCTCAACTATCAAAATTTTTTTTGTGTACTGGTTTTAAGTATTTTTTGGGATTAGATATATTTAAATAAAACTAAGTATTAAGCATATTAATAATACACAGTGCAATTTATTATAAAGAAAAGTCTCCACCTGTATACAAAATTTAGTAATATTCATATAGAGTATAGTGTGAAAGCATAGGATTTTTAGCCTTTTTGATTAATTCAGGTCAACAAATTCTAGTCAAATTTTAAGTCATGAATCCATGAGGTCATTATATATAGAAAAAGCATACTGTTGTACAGAGATTTAAAAACTTGGAATATTTAGTTATTAAGATTGATTGTAACCTCTTTGGCTGTGTGTGGTGCATGATCTCCATCAGATGGCAGTAAAAATTTAATGCTTTTTCTATGGAAAAATTTTCAAAAACAGAAGATAGAATCAGTTTTTGCATTAGAAACCTACTTGCTTCAGTTTTCAAGAATTTTTGGAAAATATTTTCTCATAGGGAAAGCATTAAACTTTTGTCATTTGCTGGAGACTAAGTGCATAACCAAAGAGATTTCAAGCAACCTTAATGCTAGATACTCCATTTTTCAATAGTCTTGTATAATATGGTTTTTTTTCCTCTACATAATGACCAGAAGGATTTTAAAACCTCCAACTTTCAAGTTGAAAGCATTTATGTATTTTAATGTAATGATAAACTCTATAATTACAATTATTTCAATGTAGCTCTAATGCGTGTTTCAGTATAACAATGAAGCATGAATGCTTTATAGTTATTTCCTTCTTAGAAGCATTACAGTTTATTTCAGTGTAGCTTTTTTTTTTTCTGACACTAACAGCTAGATGTCAGCCTAAAAGTTAAAGTTGATCCTCCTCTAAGGAAGTTTATGTTAAAATTGTGGATTATGACACATTCTTTCATCCTCAACTGGGCTTAATGGTAATGCATATATAACACACTTCTCAAAACTTTAACACTAAATCTGT